GGAAGGACATCCTAACAAAAATCTCCTTTCTCAATGGCGAGGCAGACATGCTGTTGGAGAGTCAGGGCAGAGTGGGGCTTGCTTATACTCTGTAATGCGGTGCCAAGGGCCAAGGGAGTCTTCACTCACTGGCAGCTGTGCTGTTCCGTGACACCATAACCTGTGATCTTTTGGAAGGCACGACATATGTCCAGCTAAAGGGCACAGCATTAAAAATGAAGATGTCCGTGTATCTCACTGCTGCTTGTTGCCTTTATCTTAGAAAGAGATGAGCTCAGGCAAGAACTGGCTGTGTTGCCAGTAGAAATGGAAGGAAATGAGAATGTCTGGAAATCTCAGGGTTGAAAAAGACAAGTGCTTGTCTGCCCCAGAAAGGGACCCATGCCTCATGGCAAGGATCAGTGAGGGGTGTTGCCTCCTAAATAAGCTTCTTGCTCAGCTCGCCCCAAGGTGTTCCCATGAAGATGAAAGAGTGAGCGGGACCCTCAGAAAGGAAGAAAGCAGGCAGCCAAAGAATGTGGCCTAGGGAAGACTTTGGTCATGGTTATCTACAAAAGGAACTGACTGGAAGCAATTAGATTGAAGCCTATTAGTGTTTTAAGGAAATCATGTAGCCACAGAAACCACAAATCTCCTTGAAGCAACGCTCAGGCCTTGAGATTTGTGATGATCGAAAAGAGCTGTGCATGATGTCTAGCCCTCCGGGGAGGCGCAGCAGCCACACCCCCTGAGGTGGACGTTCGAGATGAGCGGACAGGAAGCAGACAGGGGTCCCAGTTGGCCCCCAAACACTCCCTCTGCTGCCTGCGAGCCATGGCCTCAGGTCTGTCTGCGCAGGGTGTCAGTAATTCAGTGTGTTCCGCATCCTTGCCTTTTTCTTTTTCGAATCAAGCTTTATGGATTTGACATTTGCCCACAAAGCTATGCAATTTCTGAACACAGCTTCACACCTCCACAGAGCGCGGGCTTCAGTCACCCTCCCTGAGTCTTCGTGACTGGCCTTGGCACATCATCCCTCGTTCCCTACCACCCTCCGAGCCTCTCGGGTAACCACCATATTTCTCAGTCTAGAGTTGTTTTTGCTGTGTTTTGCTAGCTCGTTGGCTTTGCTTATTATACTCCACACGAGAAGCATATCCGCCAACCATCACTTTCACTCACATGGCCTAGCGCCATCACCTTAAGGTTCATCCATGTTGTCAAAGGGTTTTGTCTCTTTCCATAGCTGCGTCACAGCAGTGTGTAGCACTGAGGATCCCACAGTTTCCTGGGCCAGTTGTCTGTCGATGGGCATTTAGGTCGGGTCCGTGACGTGGCTGCTGTGTCTAATGCTGCTGTGAGCATAGGGGTGCGTGAGTCTTCCTGTAGTGTTCCCCCATTCTTCAGATCGACAGTTCGCTTGAAATAGAATGTACATATCCTGTAGCTCACCCGGGGATGTGTACAATTGTCTTTCGTGCACCCACACCACAGTGTGTGTGCACAGTGTGTGCACCCTCACAATTAGCCTGACATTTTCACCCCCAAATGAAACCCTGGACCATTGGCAGGCACGGTCCCTGTCCTCCTTCCTCCACTGCCTGGGACGGCCCTAGCCTACTGTCTATCTGCACAGAGCCACCCTTGCTGGCCACCACCCAGGTGCCGAGGGCTCGCGCTGGGTGTCGTCTCTTGTGACTGACTTTTTTCACTTAGCATCATGTCTCAGGATCCGTCCATGCTGACCCATCAGTGCTTTGTTTCCGTCTACGGTGAAATAAGATCCCTTCCTCTAGGTCAGCTGCCAGAGTGGGGGACTGTAGGCTGGGCATGTATGGACCACCTTCTCTTGTCTTAAAGGGAGTGTTTAAAGCAGTAATCCCATGCCCCCTCGGGATGGGGCAGCCATGGCTGGCTTGATGGCTGCATGACACCGTGAGAACTCAATAGAGAAATCGCGCCTCTGGGCCCGTACCCCCTCTGCCACCTGCACTCCCACCTGGCTCTGCTCACCTCAGGTCCCTACCGAGTCACTCCATCGCTGTCCATCACCGTAGCCTTTCTTTCCCTTCCCTCACACCTTCTTCCTCTCCTCCTCCACTCATTGTCTGGCTCCCCCTGCAGTGCAAACTGTCAGCCGTGACCTTGCCTTGTTCCCAGCTGAAGTCCTGGCACCTAGAATTAAGCCAGTATATTATAGGTTCACAGCAAGTCCTGGCTGGGAGAAGGCTAAGTTTCTAATGCGGATCCTTGCCATTGTGCTTGGCTCTGCTCTGTTGTGCATGGGTATCCTGCTGTGGGCAGTGACAGATGATTCCTTGTGTGGAGAAAACTGGGATGCCCCTTTGCAAAGGGGCATCGATGCTGGGGTGAAACTGGACAGCCCTGGAAAAGTACAGGCACTGCAGAAAGCAAGCTGCCAGGATCTGGCTCTTCCTTGTTTGTGCGAGTGGGACAGCGCGCTGCCTTTCCCCGGTGCCCCATCTCTGTCTTGGCATGGTCACTGGTGGCTAGGAGGGCAGCATAATGAGCAGCTAGACCTTGGGATTCTTTTAGAGTCTGCTCATACCATGAATACGAAGACTGATATAATTAGGCCCAGTTTACTCTAGGGAGAAGCTAAAGGTCATCAGGGAAAATTCAGTTCAAGCCAGTACAACTGATTTCATACTCGCTGAACTCAAGCCTTGCGCCACGCTTTGTGCTGGGCCCAGGGGATGCTGCAGCGAGTGCCCGGGCTCTCCTTTGTGTGAGATGACAGTCTGCAAGCTACGAGCAGCAGTCACAGCGCAGTGCTTGAAGGGTTACTTCAGGACTCAGAGCGATATAGAAGCCCACGCAGCTGGAGTATCTGCGCAGCCCTCAGTCAGAAAGGCTTCCCGGAGTGAGTGTCAGCGGAGCTTGGCCCCAAAGGTCGTGGCCACAAGAAGGACGGAATGTTTTCTGGGCCAAAGAAAAGACATGGACAAAAGTCACAGTGGCAGGCAGAGGGCAGTCCGCTTTTCTTCGCTCCGGCTATGCCCTGTTTTGTTCTCCATGTCTTTTCCTGCCTTCCCTCCACGTCCAGTTCTAACCTGCAGGCTAGCCCCTTCTCCCTAACCATCGCTCTGCTGGGACTTATGTGCACATCCAACCTGGGAGCCACCAAACAAAGAAAATGGTCCAGATAGCACTGGAGCCTGGAACCAAGCCTACATTACACTTACAAAATTTGATTTTGTGCAGGAAAAATATTTTGACTCCTACATTTTTGGACTTCATTAGAAAGATCTGAAATGGATGACACCAAGCTGTTTGCCTAAAATAATGTCTCCAGCCTGCATTGGCATGGATATTTCCTGAGATTAAAATAGAAACATGTTTTGCTAACAGAAAACAACTTGGAAATCAAAGAGTCATATAAGTTGAAACCATTAGTTTTTCCTTTTCTTGTAGAAAATTCCTTTTTCTAGACACTAAGAGATCAGGATAGTGAGGTCATCCTGCCACGGAACTTTCCACTAAAACTGTGACGGTGAAGAAACCTCAAAAAGAAAAGAGAAAAACGTTCTAATGTTACAGTCAATAAACAGCTCGGAGCCACCTACAGATGTGCCAGGCATTGCATTGTTCACAAGCAAGAAATAAGCAAATTATATACAAGTGTGTATGTGTATATAAAAGACAAATATATAAATAGGCAAGTATATAGATCATATATAAGCAGTTTATATAAACAACCAAGTAGGCAATTATATGGTGAACTGGGAGGTGAGCAGTCTGGACAGGACACGAAGTAGATAAGTCAGGGTCATCCAGGAGGGGCAGGTGGCCATTTTAAATAGGGGAGCCAGATTGCTCTCAAAGAGCTGACTTTTGAGCAAAGACAAAGTAGCCAGAGGTGAGCCCCGCGGATACCTGGCTTCAAGCCCAAGTAACAGCTAGTCAGCAGCCCTAAAGCAGGCCTATGCCTGGAACCTTCCAGAAAGGCAGGGAGGAGGCCATGGAGAGGGAAAGCAGGGGAATGTCTGCAGTGTGAGGTGTGGGAGCAGGCAGATGACTGCACTGGGGTGTAGTTCGGGTGGGATTTGAAAAGTGGGGTGACTCAGTCGGACTTTGGTTTTAACATGCCTTTTGGCACAATTGAGGGTTTCCCTGTGATACAGCCTTGGAGGACCATGCAGCAGCAGCAGGGGTAGGTTGGTCACAGTGGTTGCTGGCTGATCTGTGCAACATCAATCTGCTGTGAAAAACGGCCTCCTTCCCCCCTCTTTGGCGTCTCAAGCCTTGGGGGGCCACCTTCACTGTGCGGCTGATGTGCGGGGAGTGTTGCTGCTGGCGGAGGTAGCAACGCTCTCCACGTTTCTTCTTCACAGCTCCGCTGCGGAGCCAGACATTTCTTTCGGTTGTTACAAAATAAAAAACACGCCTTTGCCAACTCTGCGGGAGCAGCAGACTCCCGGAGTTTGCCTTTGCTAATTTGTCCAAGTCGTGCTGTGGTTTCGCTAAATGCAGACGCCGCTCAGCCCCAGCCCCATAAACCCCTGGCGTCTGGGGCGCCCCCACCCTCCCGCGAAAGGCCGCTGCCCGCGCCCGCCACCTGTTGGGGCGGCAACCGTGGAGCGCGCACCTCGCCGCGGCCTCCCGCTTCCCCCGCGCCTGGCCTGCGCAGCACCCCGCTTTCCCTCGCCCAGGCCAGGCTGCCAACTTTCCTCGCAGCCTGAGGCTCACCCGCTTGGCTGGCCCCCAAGAGACACCGCCTCCCCCAGCGCCCCGCCGCAGAAGCTTCCCGCCCAGGGGCCGGGCGCCCTCACCCCTCGCCCGGGGCGGCCAGCGCCCAGCCCGGCGCACGCGCGCCCCCCGCCCCCCGCCCCCTCCCGGCCCCGCGGGCGGCAGCTCCCCCTGCAGCGCCTCCCTCGCGGGGAGGGAGCCGAAGGGGCTCCGGGCGCCGCGGCGCAGACCTGAGCCGACCGCGCGCCGCGCCGCCGGCCTCTGAGTGGCAGCAGCAGCCGCGGCGGCCGCAGCTCCCGGGAGCCGTGCGCGCCCCTGCTCGTCCGCCGGCACCCCGACTTACCCTCGGCCCTCGCCGCCGACATGGGTGTCCTCCCGGTGCTGGTGCTCGGGGCCTCGCTCTACCTGCAGGCGGCCGCCGAGTTCGACGGGAGGTGAGTGGGTTCCGGGGCGCCTCCGCCCCCGCGCGAATCGCACGCCCGCTGTGCTGGGGTGCCCTGTGCCCGGGGCCGGCTGGGTCCGAGGCACGGCTCGGGTCCCGAGCCTCGGGGCCGTCGAGCAGCTCTCCCCACCCGCGCGGCAGGAGGGCGCGCCCCACGGGCAAAAGGGAGGCTGGAGCCCCGGGCTCGGGACCGGCTCCGAGGCGCGAGCGCAGCGCCGGAGCCCAGGGCACGCCGGGGCCTGGCCCGGGCGAGGACCCGCCCCCCTCCAGCCCCGCGACGCTCCGGCGGGGCGGCTGCCGGGGCCCGGGCCGACCGGAGCCCCCGGGCCGTCGCACAAAGGGGGCGGGCGGGCCGGCGCGGGGGCTTCCCGGGCGCACCTGTGCGCTTTCCCCTCGGTTTTCTTGGAGAGAGGGGGGCGCCACGTGTGCGAGTGCGACGGTGCCGGCGAGGGCGCGCGCACGGCCAGCCCTGGCGAGCCTGCCTGCGGCGGGCGTGCTCTGACAGGTCCCGCCGCCCGGGCCGGCTCCCTGTCACTCAGCCCCGCTCGGCGGCCGCGCGGTCTCCCGGCCGCGGACCCGCTCCGGGCGCGTGCAGCGCGTGCTCGGGCACCCCCTCTCTGCGCACGACACCCCACACGCGCCCCGCGCTCCGGCCGCTGCTGCTCGCGCAGCGACCGGCTGGAGCCCCGGGAGAGGTGGCGACCCGGGTCGCCCCGCCGCCTCGCAGCCGCCCTGCCCCCAGCCCCAGCACCTCCGGGACGGCGCAGCCCAAACAGCGCCGCACCTGTTCCTCCTGCAATCTCGGAACGAATCGATTCCACGATTGATTGGCTTTCTCGTGCCTGGAGGGGACGCGGGGGCCCGGGGTGCGCCAGGCAAAAGCTGCGGCCGCCGATTTCCCACCTGGTGGGAGGAACTAGAATTTTTTTGTTACTAGGGCTTGGGGGCATGATGGATGATAAAGTAATGGAGAACTGAAAAGACTAGGAGTTGAAGAAACGGTGGATTAGCCACCAGGGCAAGACGCGGAAAAGTTGGAAGGCTCTTCTTTGTTCACCTTGGAGTGCTGAGGGGGTGCACGCACATTTGCAACAGGAAACGACTTGCATCATTACCTTAAAAGTCTAGTGGAGCTTTAAATGTGTACACCAGTGTAGAGGCAGGAAGGGCCCAGAGCAGGATCTCTGTGATCCCAGCAGACGGGTAAAGGAGAGTCCTGGAGCCCCTGGTGGCTTTTCAGGCTCTTAGTGAGCTTTTTCCAGGTACAGGGCAGGCAGGGGTCCAGCAGGCTGGCAGGCCTCCCAGCCCCGGGAGAAGCTTCACGCTTTCTGGGCTCTCTGTCATTCTCTCGTGGTTCTGCTTCTGCTGGCGTCTCTGTGACGACGCCCTTATAAGCCGCGGCTCAGCCCAGGTGTGCCCACCTGTGCATGCCCACACCCTACTCCAGGTCTCCGCCATCAAGCATGCATGCAGGACCATGGGGCTCCATCGTCAACGCTAATGACAGGCGGGTGGGAACACGTGACACCTTTTCACTTACCCTACAAACAGCCAGGAAAAATATGGGGAGGGGGTCATTTAGGTGTGCACCTACACAAGGAAAAGATGGACCAAATAAGGTGGAATCTGAGGATAAACGGGTGTCCCCAACTGGAACGCCTCTGGATTCCTAATTTACCTTCCACAGTGGGGATTGCTGATTGAGGGAAGTTTCAAACCACAAGGACACTTGAGATGTTAGCCACACTTTGAACGCTCCTTGGTTTCATTTAGATTTGTTTCTCTGGTGCATTTTTCGGGGGGGGGGGGACTTTTGCAGCCAGAGTCCTACACAGAAAGGGTTGTGTTTCATTGAATGCTGAGGCGCGTCCCCCTCTCTGACCACACCTCCCCTTTGCATAAGGCAGGCTTGTTTTCCTTAATGCCTTTCAGTTGCTGATGAATCAGCCCAAATTGGCTTCCCCCTGTAACAGGTGTGGGTCTTTGAGGAACCTGTTTATTTCCAGCTTCAAAAACCCCCTCTGAGCCTGAGTGGCCTCCTTGGGAAGCCTTGCTTTGTGGCTGTTGCTCTTTCCATTTCGGAAAGCATCCTCGCCCCCACCCACTCCTGCTCCGCCGCCCCCACTTCTGTGTGGGGTGTTCGTAAGTCTGAAATTTGAAAATAGATCATAGCAGAAGTATTTCCCTGAAGGTGTTTGATCCTTAAATTTCTGCAGGAGTTGGTAGAAGTTGGTACGAAGGAGTTGGTAGAAAACTGTTGGCTGTGATTGAAGCATCTTTTTTTCTAACCTAATAACCAAGAGGAAATTGTTTTCAATTGCAAGAGTGTCTGTATTTACTTTGCCTCTTTCTGTTTGGTAGGTGGCCCAGGCAGATAGTGTCATCCGTTGGCCTGTGTCGCTATGGCGGGAGGATTGACTGCTGCTGGGGCTGGGCCCGCCAGTCCTGGGGACAGTGTCAGCGTGAGTATCCTGCCTGGGGACCTGGCTCCCCGGGAGGCGGGAGGGGCTTTCCTGTCAGTCTGCTGGGGTCCCCGGCCCTGGCTGCCCAGCATGGCCTGCAGGTGCGACTCTGCATGGCATCTTCAGGTGCAGTCACTGCCTCTCATTGTGCCTCTTGCCCCCGCCCCCCGGAACCAGCTGTAGGAAGAGGCCAGGTGTGCTGTTCACGCAGAACCGGCTAGGGTGCCCATTTTAGCATTTGTCGCTGATTTTTCCAGCGCCTTTTTTCTCATCAGACTTAATCTTTGCTCGGGGCTGAGATGGGGCTAAGATAATGAGTCTAGACTGTATTTACATTAAATACCTCTGAACCTGATAGCACTGAGGGAGCCTTTGCCATGGCTGTTGTGTATAGTGGCCTATTTGTCAATCTTTTTTTTTTTTTTTGAAGCGAGATTGCTTTGCAGGGGTTCTAAATGGACCCCTCCCCACTGCAGCCAGTAACCCCAATTAAAAAGCCTCTTGTTGAAGTCCCGTAAGCACCTACCTCATGCAGTCAGTGCCAGGTCAGGACGCTGGTTGCTTTTCCAGGATCACAGGTAGACGCTTTCATGCTAACAGTTGGAGCCAACTCATAGGAGTCTGCGGAATTCATTTCCAACATTTTATCTGGATCTCAAATTCTATCCCGCTTCTACGAAAAAATCTATCAGCGATCAAGTCAATTTCCAGGGGGGGCCTACAATGATGGACTGGCAGGGCTAATGAGAAGTGGGGGTGTCACAGCCAGCGTGTGGCTGCTGGAAGAAGGGGCTCAGTGGAGTGGCACGGGTGGGGGAGGTGTGGGCAGGAGGGTGAAGTTAAGGGCTGCCCATCAGGCTTTCCCTCAGGTGCTCTTCTAACATGGAGAATTGCAGTGAAGTCACTCCTTACCTGACTGAGGGAGGGGAAGGGTCAGTCACAGGTCACCATCTCTGGCTGGGGCTGGGAAGACAAAGGGGACTGACAAATGTCCTCTGTCTCCCTCCTGTAAGCCCCTGGCCAGACTTCTGGCACCCAGGGCCATTGTGTGTTTCCATAGAGGGAGATGATGCTGACCCAGTTTCCAGCTAACCGAGGCGTGGGGCAGGGCTGTTTCACCCCAGGTGACTCTAGTCCATGTTGTTTTAAAAGGAAGGTGACCAAAGAGCAGAATTGTGCAGGGGTGTGGTCTTCTGCCACTCGGGGCACAGTGTTGTGAGTGTTTGCACAGTGGCACCAGGTGTGGAATATGAAGGGTGTGAAGGTCCAGCCTTGACAGACCCCTTTACACATTCCTCTCCCCAGTAATCAGTGGGTAGTTTCTTTGCGGGATTGCAGATTGATCCTTTGCTGTTGATTTAGGAGATTTCCAGAGTGAGTGTGAAAGTACTGTGGGGTACTTTCATCCCCCCACATCTCCCCACCCCCCGCAGGACCTGTTCCCCTGGCAGAATGCCCTGGAAGTAGTGGCAAGCAGCTAGTGCATCCATTCATTGACCCTGCTGGCCTAGGAGCAGCGCTGAGAACCCGAGGCCGGGGAGGTGCCCCCAGAAGCCCTCCACCAGATGTGCACAAAGAATTCCAGGGAGCAAACTCTGCTGTCTCCTGGAGGCTCATCACCTGTGGAGTCCCTGGAAAGAACCCCCAGGGCTGTTCTCTTTCTCCATACCACGTAATTACATTTTCTCTGTACACCCTGCTTGGCAATTCTGAATTTGAGTGTGGAGACCTTTCAAAGTCGCAGTGACGGCACAAAACATAAACATCCTAGGGATTTCCTGGCATTGCACTTCTTAGAGTAACTTTCCTAGAAAACAGAGGGCTCTGACGCAGGTAGTCAGTCTAGTACTGGATCGCATTTTTATCTTGTTGTTAATTCTCAAGAATCTGAGGAAGCTGTACCATTTCATTACTGAAATGCAAGTGTAGAATGTGTAAGGTGTTCCTGCATGAGCTCCACATTCTCTCCCCCTGGATTTGGTGACGGCTTGAGAGGCAGCATGATGGAGGGGAATGTAGACTCAGGAGCTAGACTCCCTGACTTTCATTCAGTCCAACCTCTGATTTGCTGTGTGACCCTTATCCAGTCATTCAACCTCTCTGGACTTTTGTTTGTCTCTCTCAAAAATAGCCCAGCACTTCACAGGACTGGAACAAGGTATAAGTGAGGTACTGTTGGTAAAGCTGTTAAGAGTCTTCCTGGCACAGAGTGAACATGACGTGTGTTGGGGGAGCCAAAGGAACAGGAAGAAATAGCACCAGTGAAAGTTGGCGGGATGGGGCTTCGGGCTCTTGCTTCTTTAGGCATGATAGAGGAATTTTTGCCTCTCTGCTGCCAACATAGGATGTGGTTGCAGGGTTCTCTGTGGCAATTAAATGCCATTAAATTCAAGGGCCTCCCCGGTGGCGCAGCGGTAGAGCGCTGGGTTGCGAAGCTGCCCGCGGCCTCTGCGGCGCCGGTTCAATCCCCGGCTGCTCCCCGGCCACCGGAGGAGGGTCCCACATGGCGCGCAGACCTCTCCTGCCGCCCGCTGCTCCCCTCAGCAGTGTACTTTGGTCCTTCTGCCTGCTCTGCTCCCCGCTCTGGCTCTGGTGAATTCTCTCACCCTCCCAGCTTCTGACTGTACCCAGTGCTTGTATAAACAAAAAAAAAAAAAAAACAAGCAAACAAATAAATAAAAACATGCCTCTAAAAAAAAAAATAAATAAATTCAGGTGGCCAGATGACGCTTCCCATTATGCCATGGATGGCAAAGCTATAAAAGTGAGGTCAAAGACAGGTGTTCCCTTGTGTTCCTTGGAACCATTGATGTCCAGGCTCTCTTGTCAGCCAGAGCCCCCCATCTTGGTTGTCCTCTGAATAGATAGAGGAATGAGGGGAGCTGTGTTCAAAGATAAGCATCAAAAAGAGGCAGTTCCTGTAAAATCAGGACCTGTTGCTCTGCTCCTCCGAGGAAACCCTTGCTCTCATGGTGGCCACCCCTGCAGATAGGGCACCTGTGCGAATTCGAAAGCGCTTCTGGGAAGTTCAGTGTGAAAATTGTGTCTGCCTTTCTGCCCAGGAGGCACTTCTTTTCTTCCCTCCTTTTAGCAAAGCTGCCCCATTCTTTTTTGCCAGTGTGATTTGCTCGATGCTTTCCTTGGAATCATCACAGCACAGTGACAGGAAGCGATTCCCACCTGTGTACCAGCCTCCTCCTACCCACTAGGTGTGCGCAAGGTGTGGGGGGCTCACACCTTCACCCTGTGGATCATGTCAACACCGTGAGACACTGTGGGTGTTTTCCCGTTCAGTTGTGGGGTGTGTCCACGCTGATCATGAGAGTCAAATGTACCTGGTTACGCAATGGGCTGCGTTTCCATGTCACTTGTGGGCCTGCCAGCAGGCAGCGTGCACTCTGTGCAGCCACAAGGCCACACTTAGCTCAACTTCCAGTCTTCCCTGCGGCACTGAAGAGGGAAGATCACAGCGGGGCCCTCAGCAGGCCTGGGCACGGTCCTGCTGCCCTCCGCCCACTGCCCTGCACCCAGCTTTGTGTCTACATCCCCACCGGCCAACTGGGAAGCAGGACTGATCCAGAAGTGGGCGGGTCGTGCCTCCATTCCCTTCTGGCCTTGACTTCTCTCTTTGCTCTGATGCTTTCTTTTGTATTCTTGACTCATAAACAATCTACATACCAAAAGTTCAGGTTTTGATTTTCTGCTGATCCTGGGCTTTAGTTTGATTGACAGTCAACAGGCTCTTTGTTGACAAGTGGCGTGTTCTTCTTGCGTTCAGAACAAGAATCTCTGTCTTGCTCTGTAATTATTCCACTCCTTTTGCGTCAGTTAACGGCACACTTCATTTTCCTTTTAACCATGTCTTCCTACCAGGTGGGGGTTTCTGTGACTGATTTCTCAGGGGCTGTCCACCTCATTGTAAAAGCCGCTTGTCCTGTGGCTACAAGGAAAAGCCAAACATAGTTTGGGTACCTGGGGGGCCCTGCCCTTTGTACCTGATAAGCTGCTTCACATCCTCACCTGCTCTGCCCTTCCTTCACAGGGTAGAGGGGGGATGCGGGGTGGGGGGGGTTTCCTAGGTACATGGCTGTGTTTGGATATTATATTCCTATGTGGTTGCCTTTCTGTTGACTTGCTGATTTGACTGTGGCAACAATGTTCTTGTGAAAGCTCTTTCTGGAGGTGCGCACAAAATGCAAACTAGAACTGGCCCTGGCCTTCCACAAAGCTACTTACTTCCTAAGCTCATTGATCCCCAAAGCAGGCAATTCTTTTCCCAAGACCCGGCCTTGAACTCTGGTTCTTGACCTTCCTAGGGCTAAGGCAATCTCGATGAGCCACGAGGCTCCTTTCTCTAGGGAGATTTGGCAAAGATGTTAAACCTCAGTTAGCAAGGCTAAGCTGTGCAAACGCCATGTCAGATGGGAATTTTGTCAGTGCTCGAGGACCTTACCTGTGGGTGCAACATAGTTAGTGACTGAGAAGCAGTCATTCGGAAGATATTTGGTTGGATAATGTCTGTAACTGGCTAGTGATTGTACACTGCTGGAAAGATAAGCAAATCGTTGAACTATTTTCTGTATGTCAGATGCGGAAGGCTATTAGTTTAGGCAGAGACTTTTAATCTAGTCAAGAGTTAAATTTCATAGTTCACTCATTACTTGTATCTGGGTTCAGAAATTCAGCTTCATAAATGGAACATGGTTTACTAATTTTTGCTCCCATTGATTTATGTCTCTAGCCACATGGTATACAGGTTATATTTTTCTTGGCTTTTTAAGATTTTGAAAATTTTTTTAAAGCTATTTTTTCCTTTTTTTTTTTTTTTTTTTTTGGCATAGAAGAGCTGGGGTGTAGGCCAGAGGTGTGGGGAGCAGAACAGAAGGATTGAGTAAATTACCCTGCTGAGGGGAGCAGCGGATGAGACAGGAGAGGTCTACTGCACAATGTGGGTTAGCTCCCTGGCCAGGATGGAACTTAGGTCACAGTGTCTGGTGATA